GTGGTCTCTCAGTTGATTCAACTTTCTTTTGAAAGAGTCGAGGAATGGAGCCTCAACCACGTGTTGAGGTAATGAATTCCACTCGTTGATGATTCGATGGGAAAGTCGATAATCAGCTGACGAGTAATTTGTTCTGGGCTTTTGAACTTTTTTGGAGTGTCCTCGTAAATTCCCTGTTTTGGAAGACAAAAAATGAGAGCATATTAGGTGCGGACTCATCACTAAGCAATTTGAAAACTAATCAAGTCGCTTCTAGTTTTACGATATGGCAACGGTAACAGGTTTAGCTTGGTCAGCCGAGCATCATACGGAAGCTTCGCTATTCCGGGAATCAGCTTAGTTGCTGTTCTCTGAACCTTTTCCAAAAGCTCACTGTCTTTTTTAAGCCGCTTGTGTGCTGTACTCAAGTTTAGGACGTACGAATACTGTATACAAAGTCGAAAACGTTGTAGCGTCGACATGACTAAAAGCCCTACGTATTGACCATAAGGTTCTAAAACCTTCGGCGGCTATTGCATGTCAGTGTGCAGTAGTCTTTAAGTTTTGGCTAACGATGACTCCTAAGTCATTATGTGTCTGAACGATAGGTACCTCAGTGTTATTCATCGTGTATTTATCTGTGCCTTGATGACCGATATGCATCACAACACACTTGAAAGTATTTATCGGCAACTGCCTGGTTTGAGACTAACCAGATAATTTATTCAGGTCATTTTGGAGTTCTAAGCTATCACCCTTACATCGTATCGTTCTCCATATATTGACATCGTCAGCATATAGCAATACCGATGATGATAGGAGACGAGGAAGGTCATTTACATACAAGAGGAATAGCACGCCCCAAAACTGTACCCTGGGGCACTCCACTAAGCACAATTTCCCAGCTAGATAACTTTGAGTTGACCCGTATTCTTTGTTGGCGCCCAACTAGGCGGTCTTTTATTCACACCAATAGATTGCCTCTAATTCCGAAATTTCTTAACTCATAAAACAGCCGGTTGTGCGGAACTTTGTCGAAAGCTTTGCTGAAATCAATGTAAGCTACGTCTACAGGTAACTTTTGGTCCTTAAGAGCGCACCAGCTTTCACGAGCCACTAATAAGTTAGTGAGACAAGAGTAACCTATTCTGAAACCGTGCTGCTTCTCCGAAAGGATCCGGTTTTCATCGAGGTACTTAAACAGCTCCTTCCGAATAATCTTTTCTAAGGTTTTAACAACCACACCAGTTAGGCTAACGGGTCGGTAATTCTCAGGTTTATGTTTCGTACCTGTTTTGAAGACGGGACTTACTATAGCGTTCTTCCAGTCTTTTGGTAAACGACCTTGCGTTGCGGATAGATAAAAGCATATACTTAAAGGATTCGCAACGAAGCTAAATAATTCCTTCAGTAGCCTAGGATGTGATTCATCTGGCCCCGTGGATTTACCTGTGTCAAGCTTATTTAGCAGACCAAAGACATCGAGTTCTTTAATGGTCACGCTATCCAGTGTATGTGTGGGGGGATCTGTATGCACTGACGGGAAGGGTGCTTATATGGTATATACATTGCTAAAGTAGTTCGAGAGCACTTGAGCCTTACCAAAGTCGTCCTCCACTAATGATAAGGCAGTACTGTCTCCCCACAGTACAAGAATATTTCCTCTTCTTTTTGTCCTTTGGTTTATATAGGAATACAAGCTTTTAGGACATTCTATGGATTCCTTGAATAGTTTTCTTCGTACAACTTTCTAGACTTACGGAGGGTCGAGGCACAGGTATTCCGAGCTTTTCGATACTGAGATTTTGTCTCATCAGTCCTCAGTAACCCAAATCTATCCCACATTTTTCTTTTCTTACGAAGAAGGATGCGGACCTCCCCACCGAACCATGGTGGAGAGTTTCTCGACCACCTTGGTATGGTCCTAGGGATGTGTGGGGTGGGTGGTAACTTTTAAGTATAAATTTCGAAATGCGTCCCAAGCCATTTCAATTGAGGACCCTGAGTTTATTGTCCAGTCTACTGACGATGCTGAGTGCATGATATCTGGTATGCTTGCTTTCCAGACATTAGGTCTGGATTGAGCTAACACGTGCTCGTGATTGACAGTTATGTGGAAGTCGAAAGTTGAAACTGAGTGATCACTTTTACTTATGGGTGGCATGTAATGGAGGTTCGCAACATCATCCTCATAGTGAGTCAATATAAGATCTAGTAAGGATGACTCAGTGTCTGGGTCGTACCTAGTCGCTTCTTTCACATGTTGCACTAGGGCAAATGTGATAACCGCATCAACTAGTCCCTACTCGAAGGAATTTTCTGACGACTCAGTTCGCATATTTTCCCAGTCTACCATAGGTGCATTAAAGTCCCCTAGGATTAGATATCGACCACTTTGTGACCAAGTATTTGGACTGCTTAGCAGGACCTCATTTACGTCACAGCTTGGACTGCGATAGACCAAACCGATCAGCAGCTCTTATCCTTTGCATTTCAAGCGGCAACTAACTAATTCAAACGTTACACTCATGGGATACACTGTCGATAATGGCAAATGGGATAGCATTCCTAATGAATAGAGCTACTCCCCCCTCCTTTACGCTTTTGTATTCTGTCGGCCCTTACTAACGTAAAACCCTTGAAATCAAGTTTTATACTATCTATAGGCTGTCAGACAGGTTTCTGTGATTGCGATTATGTCTGGCTTTGTAGAGTCAATCTGTACACCTAGTTCCAATCGCTTATTGAGTAAGCTTCGGGCATTAGTGTAAGAGATCCGAAGCCTATTTAAGTGGCTTCGCGATTCACCCATAGTGGCTTGGGTATCATTCTCTGTCTAAGCCTTACAACCCAAAAATTTGAAGTTTTTATGTCATTTACGCCAGCCTTTAAACCTCAGTTGTAGTTCTTTTTCGGGTTCCCGTCTTTCTACGCTTTCTGCCAACGGCAAGTCCTTACGGATAAAAACTCCTGAACCCTTTAATTTATGTCCATTCTGTAAAATTAAGTCGCGTTCATTCGAAGATTTGAATACTACTTTAAGCAGTCTGGATTGATTAGGCTTCAAGTTCGCTAGGCTACTTAGTCTGTACACCTTTAGCAAGGTGACTCCGGGGATATTTTGAGGCATGAGTTGATTAAGTAGCTGTTTTATCAGCACAATGTCATGCTCAAAACGAGTTTTTGGTTCAGAGCTTTCACTCTCCTTGATTCTATGAGAAACAACTGATCTGTCACTTTGATCAGTCTTCGATTTCTCGACTACTTTTATGGGGCAGGATTCCCTTTTATATCGTTATGTTGTTTCTTCCTTACAACCTGTACCCATTCGTCAACGTTGCTATGAGAAGCAACCACAGTTGCGTCAAACATACTGTGAGATTCCGGAGGGTTGTCGACGATTCGGGAGGTCAGGTTGTGTTTCCCGCTGGAAACTGATCGAGCCATGCGATTGCGGCTTTCAGGCGTTTCCTGCTGGATACCATTTAGAAGACGGGAGACAAAAGAAACTTCTTTTCTTGAGCTTTTGGTTAAGACAAACCTCTTTGAAGACTGTTTTTCCTCTTTTGGTCGGTGTGAGTCACCTGTTTTCGAACTCACCTGAGTTTGCTTCACATCAATTTGCGTGTCGACAGAGCGAGTACTGTTCGTTGTGTCCCGACCATACTTGCCAAAACACTTTTGCATCAGCATTTACCAGTGAGATGGCCTCGGTTAGCAAGCTGTTTGCATCCGAACAACACTGTTGACAAAGCCATACACAACCGTTTTTGTTGAACCGTTTGAAAGCTGCAGGCGTTAAATTCGTGCAAACTTCGTGGTACCAGCCTTTGCACTCATCGCACTGCATGCCGGTTTCAACGCGATAACGACAGCCCGGACGTTGGCAATTGGTTTTTTGCACTGTCCAGTCATTAAACAGGGGTCCTTTTTTAAAAAAAGAACTGGATGCAATAATACTCAGACAAAAATGATCTATGACCAAAAAAGTGGAAAACTGTAGATCGTTAGTACAAAAAGTACTAACAGATACAATAGAAAACAAAGTACTCAAAAGTACCGACGACAAACTAATATAGAAACAGAAACGATACTCTAATCGAATACTTTAACTGAAACAAATTCAATTAAAGTGAAAACAGTAGTCTTGATATGTAATAAACGGTCAAAAAATGGAATTCACTCAGCGAGGAAAAATACCACTGTCCTTTTAATTAGACTCAAGTCCAAAATGGGTTTACAAGGTAGCAATAATCTGTTATGTCATATTGTCTTCGGACATTTATGTATGTTGCCATCTCGATTATTCTCAATGCGGTGGGACTATAAGTTATGGACAATCTTTGTAACATTAGCAACACGGTAAGATAGAAACGACCTTTGATTGAAGCTTATTGATTGCTTAGTTGGTTGGATCAATACCTTTAACTGAACAGTTGCAAATAATTAGACGGTAATCGAGCTGACAATTTATACGCATCTCATCGGGGTATTTACTTCAACGGGAAGTCAACTGACTAAGTTGCTCACTACACTTCAAGCGACATGAAAATAGAGTTGAGAAACTATGACTACTTAAAAGAGTTTAAGTATAGTTATGAATCAATGGGAGAAGTAAGATTAGGACTAACCGTTAATGTTATAGTTATAAATTAGGCTTGTCATCGTAAACTGACATCAGCTATATGATTTGGCTATGTAGATAAATTATTTCTGTGTTGAAGTCTTGGGTTTGCTATCCAAAATCTCATTTGGTCTCCCATAAATTATAGACTTGGCGACCATTGAACGGGAAGAAAATACATTGAAACAATCTAGCTCTTCCGAAGAAGTGGATGGGAAACAAAGGAGTACTTGGCTATCGGTTGTAAGCTCATCGTATGTCCTTAATCTCGCTCTTGCTATTCAGATTTCCACACGTTCCTCTACACAACTTCGGCACACAATACATCAGCGTAAGTGATACTTGTTCAAGCCATAGATATTCTGTCACAATTCCTACAAGATCAAAGGTTCTTTGAATGATTGAGTCGTTAAAATGTGTCCAGTATTTCAAAGTAAATTCTTGAAATTTGTTTTTTACCATTTATCCTAGGGAGATCCTTTAGATGAGTTAACTTCATCATCACCATGTTTACCTCCTCTACAACCTTCACGAACACACAAGGTGTTCTTTCGTGTAAGTCGTGTTTTTTGAACTTGATAACATTTCAGTGTGACAGTAACCCTGTAAAGCCACCTATACCATATCCTGATGACTATCAGGATAAGTGGAACGGATTGTTTGTTCGTATGCCATGTTCTCCTGAAAGCGTTTATCCGGTTTATGAAGTAAGATTGTTCAGTGGGCTTATGTTTTAGGGTGGTGCTAATAGCCTTATTTCTAGATGGGTCGTGATTGAAAAGGCATTGAGAAATAAGATAAAATCTTCTGACGAGTTGAAGGTAAAAAACTTAGTTCATTTTAATTTTAACAATGTTGTCATTCATGTAATCAGATTTGCTATTTGTATGGTATATAAGAGAAATGATTAGGTCACACGTTCTTCTTAATTTATTTTAGGAAGCTATTCTCTCCTACAACTATCGTTTCAAATCCTACTGGAATTTTAAAACATTAGAACAATTATGTATGATGAACCTGATCCCCGATGGTGGAAACGATAATTTCTTCGGTAACACTCTTTCCGGAATCTGTTCGTTAGCACTAAATTTGCCTATTTTTGTTACAAAAGTAATTAGCTGTTTTTCAATGGTTTATAATTTACTCTTGAAAATTAAAATGTCTTTGCTAGTTTTCTTTATGAAAAGAAAGTACTAGATTGATTGGAATGTTGTAGAAAAATCCTTAAAAAGATTTAATCTTGGTCAGAGGTTGGATGTGTTTTATTTCTGCAATAATGACTATTAGTTTTTAGTCACGCAACTGAAATCTCTGGTCTTGACATGTTTTAGGACTTCATTTGGTAAACATATCTAAAGTGGGGTTTAGTGTGATAATGCTCCGGTTCAAGGTCCCCCACTTACCATAGTAAAATAAAACACGGGTTTCTAGTATCTCATTATCTTCATGTTAAAAAGTTTTGAACTATTCTCATATTTTTGCATTCAATTTAAGGCTTGACAAATTCCATTTTAATTATTGAGCCAATACTTCACGTACTCCTTAGTGTAAAGTCACTGCTAACCGTTAACATTTAAAGTACTCAGGTAATTTTTCGGTTAGAAGTCCCAAGGGTAGGTCATGTGATTGTTGTTTGTTGGCCTTCAAATTTATTAGCACCTCCAAGTTGGGGAAAAACGGGATGCGGCTGACTCTCAGTTTTGCTCCCAAGTACCCTGGTATGGCCTAGGGTGAAGAGCGTCAGCTCCATCTATTAAAATGCTCACACGGCCACGCATATACAGCCACTGCCACTGCAGTCTCACTCGCTGTCTTCCCGTGGCGAGGATGTTGTTTATAAAACCGAAAGGACGAAAGTCCGTCGTTGAACAGGGTTCACGTACAACTAGGGGAGTTGGAAAGCCCTAATTCTAAACTAATGGTGCACATGGACTCATACTTTTATTTTTTTGTCAGTGGTTGTCACTATTTATTTGAACGTCGTTTGATTATCATTTCTACTCTTTCACTTTAGCCTATTCCTTTACTATCATGCCGAAAAGAATGCGCACTTACTTTAAGTCAACTCCAGATAGCCAGTCTTTTGGCAAATGCTTTGTTTTGTACATTTCCTAGACGTAATTGTCACAGTCAAGATGCAGAATATGTTAATTTCCCTCAGATCAATTTCTCTCATTTACTGTCAGCAAAAGCCGACAGTAAATATAATACAAGCAGGTGAGTTTATCCATTATACTAAATCCTAAGTCATCTTCACGATTTACTGTATCTGCATTTCATGAAACCAGTTAAATCGCAATAATAATTATTAGCAAGCTATTATAGGGATTCGGTTCTCAATGCTATTTTGTAAGAAAATCTAACTGAAGTTAAGATGCTTATGTAAAATCTAAAATAAGACACTACAAAGCAAACGTGATTGCTTTCATTTTCGTCACTATATTCTTGTTGGTTACCCTTGTATTTATCGACTTAGAATACGCAGATGACATTGTCCTGTTTGGTGAAGACGCTGATAAAATGCAGTCTTTTGGTAGCACTAAGCAACAATGCCAAAATGTTTGAGATTCGCTTCTCCCCCTCTAAATGCAAGTTTTTGCTTCAGGACTGGTCTGCGTCAGCACCTGAACTAAGGATAGGGAGTGAAGTAGTCGAACGCGTCGACAACTTCACTTATTTCGGAAGTCTGATCAGCCCTAATGGGTTGGTGTCTGACGAACTCTCAGCACGGATTCGAAAAGCTCGCTTGGCTTTTGCCAACATACGTCACCTATGGTGAAGGCGAGATATCCGTCTATCAATTGAGGGACGAGTATACTACACGACAGTCCGTTCTGTTTTAATTTACGGTAGCGAAACCTGGCCATTAAGAGTATAAGATACTCGTAAGCTACTAGTATTTGACCACAGATGCCTCAGAGATATTGCTCGTATCTGCTGAGATCACCGAGTAAGTAATAGTGCGGTTAGACGCAGACTATTAGGGAATGATGGTAAATCAGTTGATGAGGTTGTGAATCTTCATCGAATGAGATGGTTGGGTCACGTGTTACGTATGCCTGAACTCCGATTACCACGACGTGCAATGCTAACCGGTGTTGGAGATGGTTGGAAGAAAGTTAGAGGCGGTCAAACCAAAACGTGGCATCAGTGCTTGAAGTCACTAACTTCTAGTCTGAGCCATGTCGGTAGATGCAAACTACTTGGTTGGGGTCCGCGTGATTATCATAACCAATGGTTGGAGACTCTTGGTGACATGGCTCAGGATCGATCACAATGGCGTCGGTGTATACACTCTCTGTCTTCCCTTAAACTAAGAGATTAAAATCGCTTCATATCTTTCTTTCTACGAACTAATTCTTTCTTCCTGTACTATATCCTTATTGCAATCTTTCTTTTATATATTACCACCCCTGAATTAACTACTTTTATGAATCCGGTGTTAATCTTGTTGTGTTAATGAGGTATGGCAACTTGGACCGATGCATACATGTGCCTGGTCTGACATTGTAGCTGACTGACTGACTGTACTTCTTGTAGTACACTAGCGGATACCCTAAAATCTTCGTGTGAAACTATATATATATATATATATATATATATATATATATATAAACTTTCCGATATTAGGAATTCAACTGTTAGCGAAACTATCTCGGAAAAAGATCGACATATTATTCACGCTCAATCCAGGAGATTAGATCGATGAGCAGAATACTTTAGGGATCAGTTCAACTGGCCTTCAGCCATATTTCGGTCCCCCACGATCCTCTAGTCGACCTGAATGCCAAGTTGATGTATGTCCTCTAGCTCTACGAAGTTAAAAAAGCTATATGTAATCTTAAGCAAGGAAGAGAAACAGGCCCTGGGAACTGGACGTAATCACATCTGACTGGTCTCAGTCACTGATTGTGCCAGTCTGTAAGAATGGACAAAAGTCCTCTTGTGACAATCACAGAGGAATCATTTTGACCAATATAGTGTCTAAAATATTAGCTTCAACAATACTTCGACGCCCAAATAAAGCCCGTGAAAAGCAGACTAGAGAAAACTAGGCTGGTTTCCGACCTGGATGTGGCTGTATAAACCAGATATTCACACTACGTTAGGTCCTAGGACATAGACACACATCCAGACGTCCCACAATAGTAGTATTTCTCGACCTTAAGGCGGCATTTGACTCGGTTGATCGTGAGGTTCTATGGCAGTGTTTGTCACTGAAAGGAGTACGAAAGAAGTACATTAACCTTGTAAAGGCTCTCTACTCGGACACAACTGGTCGAGTGAGAGCTTATGGCGAACCGTCATCAGGATTGATTAACTCAAGTGGTGTTCGTCAGGGCTGTCCATTCTTTTTTAACTTTGTTATTGACGTGCTTTTAGAGATAACACTTTCCTCATCTGAATTCCTAAGAGTTGGACTTCTCCCGGGATATTTAGTCAGTCAGCTACAACGTAGGACCAAGCACATATATGCATCGGTCTAAGTTGCCATACCTCATTAGCACAGCAAGATGAACACCGGATTCATAGAAGTAGTGACTTTATGGACTAATGTCATGTTTTGATTTGGCTGCCCCTAACCTTCTTCCAACATTAGTAGGCATTACACGTCATGGTAATCGGAGTTCAGGCATACGTAACACGTGACCCAACCATCTCATTCGATGAAGATTCACAACCTCATCAACTGATTTACCATCATTCCCTAATAGTCTGCGTCTAACCGCACTATTACTTACTCGGTGATCTCAGCAGATACGAGCAATATCTCTGAGGCATCTGTGGTCAAATACTAGTAGCTTACGAGTATCTTATACTCTTAATGGCCAGGTTTCGCTACCGTAAATTAAAACAGAACGGACTGTCGTGTAGTATACTCGTCCCTCAATTGATAGACGGATATCTCGCTGCACAAGTGCTGGTAGTGGGGTCAGTGATGAAACCAATCCACGTATAGTGAAAGCCAGAGCGGCTTATGCCAATCTGGGCCATCTTTGGCGCCTTCGTGATGTTAGTATGGCTGTAAAAGATCGGATCTACAACGCCTCGGTGAGAGCAGTTCTGCTCTATGCTTGCGAAACCTGGCCTCTCTGAGTTGAGGATGTTAGACGACTCTCTGTGTTTGATCATTGTTGCCCCCGAAAGGTTACTGACATCCAGTGGCAACACCATGTTAGTAATGCAGAGGTCTGGCGTCGTCTGTTCTGGCACAGCGACGATAATTCAATTGGTATCACTATCTTGAAACACCGACTTCGGTGGCTTAGACATGTTCTACGAATGTCGTCTCAGAGAGTTCTACGTCGTGCACTAGTTGACGACGCTGGGACTGGTTGGAATAAAGTGGAAAGGTGGTCAGTCTACGACATGGTGTCGTGACAAGAAAGAAGGATCTACAAGACTGGCTTCTGTTGGTCTTTCGCGACTCCCTGGTTGGGGTCCGAGAGATGATACAACACAGTGGTTAGAGTCATTATCACATATGGCTCAGAATAGAAGCCAGTGGCAATCCTGCTGTAACCTTCTTTTACTTTCTTCATAAAAAGTGGTTGTATCTTCCTTAACTGAAAGATTTCTCCTGGTTGTACCTTTCCGTTTCCCCTATTATTATTATTATCATTATTTTTATTTTTTTTCTTTTACGCTCCTCACCTTTCTTTTTCTATTCGAATTCTCATTGTTTTGTGTGGCGCATATATATTCGGTGCCCTCTTGTATCAATATTTATGTGTTCAAATAAATAAATAAAATAAAATGTAGAGTAGCTGGAGACCAGCTGAACTGCTCCTGTTCCACTCATCGTTCTAAACGTCTGGGCTGAGAGCAGATATGAGTGTCGTATTTTTCCGAGATTGTCTCACTTAAGCTTGACTTGTTAATTCCAGTTTCTTTTATTAGTCTGAAAAGCTGTCTTGCATTACCTACAGCCACTGCCTTCTCCATCTCTTTTGCTTTCGTTGCCCGCCACTGCTCACGGTCGTTCATTAGACTTCTGGTTAACCTAGGTCTGATTTGCTTTCGCTCTTCATCGTGTTCAGAGCCTGATGGGATTCACTTGTTGACTTAGAATATGCCGATGACATTGTTCTATTGGTAAGGACGCTGACAAAATACAGAGTCTTCTGACCACTCTAATCAACAATGCAAGCATGCTTGGCATGCGATTCTCCCCATCGAAATGCAAAATGTTACTTCAGGATCGGGTTGCATCGACACCTAAACGAATGATAGGGAGTGAAGTAGTTGAGCGTGTCGATCGCTTCACTTATCTTGGGAGTCGTATCATCTTTTGTAGTCTGGTATTTGACGAAATCTCAGCACGGATACAGAAGGCTCGGCTAGCTTTTGCCAACTTGCGTCATTTATGGCGTAGGCGAGATATCCGTCTACTAACCAAAGGACGGGTTTACTGCGCAGCAGTTCGTTCCGTCCTGCTTTATGGCAGTGAAACATGGCCGGTAAGAGTTGAGGATATTCATAGGTTACTAGTATTCGATCATAGTTGTCTTCGAAGAATTGCTCGTACATCCTGAGACTACGGAGTTGTTAGGAAACAGATACTAGGTAAGGATGGCAAATCGATTGGTAAAGTAGTGAAACTTTATCAGTTGAGATGGCTGAGACACGTGTTACGTATGCCCAATCACCGACTGCTCCGCTGAGCGATGTTTTATGGTGTAGGAGTAGGTTGGAAGAAAGCTAAGGTCGGCCAGACCGAAACGTGGCACTAATCCGTTAAGTCACTGACAAGTGGACTGAGGCATGTTGGTAGGTGTAGACTACCTGGTCGGGGACCGCGAGATGATAGAAACCGATGGTTAGAGACCCTGGATGACATGGCTCATAATCGTTTGCAGTGGCGCAGATGCATCCACTCTTTAAGTTCTTCCAAATTCTAATCTTCTGAATTCTTCATGTCCCTTTTTTTCCTCTTTCTAAATTTATTTCACTGTATTATACTCATTGAATAACATCTTCAAACCCTAATGTTTCCGATTACTGCTTATAATTTTACTATCTCTACCACTACGGGATTTGAATCGACAATTGTATCTCTGTGCTTATGTCGTATGGCAACTTGAACTGATGTACGTACGTACGAATTTCTACGTTGTTGCTGACTGACTGACTTCTATTCAACATTGTTTATTTGAGATATAATTGCGCTCATGTTCGTGTTTTGATTTGAGGACTTGTCGTGTGAAGTAAAGTGTCTAATTTATACCAATGTAATGGGTGGCTGAGTTGTGATAAGAGTTCATATCACTACTGAATACTACTTTCGATCATATTGTGGTTTAATTTTAGGACACTTCATGTCAAAATTGAAAAGCTACGTTGCATCTTACACTATTTTCATCGTGTTCTTCAAAAGTTTCCTACAGGATCAGTTACATTTACAAGACGCTGTCTAGGTAATTTGTCACCAGATTGGTCGAGGAGCGAATTAACATTTGATCAGTTGCGTTTACATGTCAATGCCACAGGATCAATTACTGATGCTGGTCCAAACACCTTACAAGTTTGTTATGTGTCGTTTATTAAACCTATTTTGTATTGAGTTTAGTTTTGTATTGTTTTTTTATGCTAGGATGTATCTTATGTTGCCACTTAGATCAGCCATTAAGAAATTTTTTCATACAATCATCTTGTAGTCGTTTATATGAAATCTTTGTTTGTGACTTGTGAATTTCATTACAGATACCTAGATCTCGCCGAAATCAAGCGTCTTTATATAGGATTATTAATGTACTAAACTCCTAAATCGTTCCATTTTTATGAACAAAATATCGTGTTTCCGTTCTGTCACTAGAGTATCGATTTCGTCATACATGGTTGTTTCCATTAATTTGCTTCATCAACTAATTTTTTATCAGAAGGGGTTTTATGGATATTATAGTAATCTGAATAGTTAAGGTCATGAGTCAGTTGAAGCAAGACCACAGTGGAAAACCTGGAAGCACTGGACGGCCGTTTTGTCCTACTGTGGGACTTCTCAGCAGCGCACACGATCCCGCCTCGCGAGATTCGAACACAGGACCTACCAGTCTCGCGCGCGAGCGCTTCTAGCGAGAAGCAGTGACCAATGGAATTCAACTGGGTCTGTTGTGAGATAGTAACTCACTGAAGATAATGGTGGGTGTGTCGCTCAATTTCATGGATTTGTGCCACGTTTCGGTCTGGCCGACCTTAGCTTTCTTCCAACCTACTCCTACACCATAAAACATCGCTCAGCGGAGCAGTCGGTGATTGGGCATACGTAACACGTGTCTCAGCCATCTCAACTGATAAAGTTTCACTACTTTACCAATCGATTTGCCATCCTTACCTAGTATCTGTTTCCTAACAACTCCGTAGTCTCAGGATGTACGAGCAATTCTTCGAAGACAACTATGATCGAATACTAGTAACCTATGAATATCCTCAACTCTTACCGGCCATGTTTCACTGCCATAAAGCAGGACGGAACGAACTGCTGCGCAGTAAACCCGTCCTTTGGTTAGTAGACGGATATCTCGCCTACGCCATAAATGACGCAAGTTGGCAAAAGCTAGCCGAGCCTTCTGTATCCGTGCTGAGATTTCGTCAAATACCAGACTACAAAAGATGATACGACTCCCAAGATAAGTGAAGCGATCGACACGCTCAACTACTTCACTCCCTATCATTCGTTTAGGTGTCGATGCAACCCGATCCTGAAGTAACATTTTGCATTTCGATGGGGAGAATCGCATGCCAAGCATGCTTGCATTGTTGATTAGAGTGGTCAGAAGACTCTGTATTTTGTCAGCGTCCTTACCAATAGAACAATGTCATCGGCATATTCTAAGTCAACAAGTGAATCCCATCAGGCTCTGAACACGATGAAGAGCGAAAGCAAATCAGACCTAGGTTAACCAGAAGTCTAATGAACGACCGTGAGCAGTGGCGGGCAACGAAAGCAAAAGAGATGGAGAAGGCAGTGGCTGTAGGTAATGCAAGACAGCTTTTCAGACTAATAAAAGAAACTGGAATTAACAAGTCAAGCTTAAGTGAGACAATCTCGGAAAAATACGACACTCATATCTGCTCTCAGCCCAGACGTTTAGAACGATGAGTGGAACAGGAGCAGTTCAGCTGGTCTCCAGCTACTCTACATTTTATTTTATTTATTTATTTGAACACATAAATATTGATACAAGAGGGCACCGAATATATATGCGCCACACAAAACAATGAGAATTCGAATAGAAAAAGAAAGGTGAGGAGCGTAAAAGAAAAAAAATAAAAATAATGATAATAATAATAATAGGGGAAACGGAAAGGTACAACCAGGAGAAATCTTTCAGTTAAGGAAGATACAACCACTTTTTATGAAGAAAGTAAAAGAAGGTTACAGCAGGATTGCCACTGGCTTCTATTCTGAGCCATATGTGATAATGACTCTAACCACTGTGTTGTATCATCTCTCGGACCCCAACCAGGGAGTCGCGAAAGACCAACAGAAGCCAGTCTTGTAGATCCTTCTTTCTTGTCACGACACCATGTCGTAGACTGACCACCTTTCCACTTTATTCCAACCAGTCCCAGCGTCGTCAACTAGTGCACGACGTAGAACTCTCTGAGACGACATTCGTAGAACATGTCTAAGCCACCGAAGTCGGTGTTTCAAGATAGTGATACCAATTGAATTATCGTCGCTGTGCCAGAACAGACGACGCCAGACCTCTGCATTACTAACATGGTGTTGCCACTGGATGTCAGTAACCTTTCGGGGGCAACAATGATCAAACACAGAGAGTCGTCTAACATCCTCAACTCAGAGAGGCCAGGTTTCGCAAGCATAGAGCAGAACTGCTCTCACCGAGGCGTTGTAGATCCGATCTTTTACAGCCATACTAACATCACGAAGGCGCCAAAGATGGCCCAGATTGGCATAAGCCGCTCTGGCTTTCACTATACGTGGATTGGTTTCATCACTGACCCCACTACCAGCACTTGTGCAGCGAGATATCCGTCTATCAATTGAGGGACGAGTATACTACACGACAGTCCGTTCTGTTTTAATTTACGGTAGCGAAACCTGGCCATTAAGAGTATAAGATACTCGTAAGCTACTAGTATTTGACCACAGATGCCTCAGAGATATTGCTCGTATCTGCTGAGATCACCGAGTAAGTAATAGTGCGGTTAGACGCAGACTATTAGGGAATGATGGTAAATCAGTTGATGAGGTTGTGAATCTTCATCGAATGAGATGGTTGGGTCACGTGTTACGTATGCCTGAACTCCGATTACCATGACGTGTAATGCCTACTAATGTTGGAAGAAGGTTAGGGGCAGCCAAATCAAAACATGACATTAGTCCATAAAGTCACTACTTCTATGAATCCGGTGTTCATCTTGCTGTGCTAATGAGGTATGGCAACTTAGACCGATGCATATATGTGCTTGGTCCTACGTTGTAGCTGACTGACTAAATATCCCGGGAGAAGTCCAACTCTTAGGAATTCAGATGAGGAAAGTGTTATCTCTAAAAGCACGTCAATAACAAAGTTAAAAAAGAATGGACAGCCCTGACGAACACCACTTGAGTTAATCAATCCTGATGACGGTTCGCCATAAGCTCTCACTCGACCAGTTGTGTCCGAGTAGAGAGCCTTTACAAGGTTAATGTACTTCTTTCGTACTCCTTTCAGTGACAAACACTGCCATAGAACCTCACGATCAACCGAGTCAAATGCCGCCTTAAGGTCGAGAAATACTACTATTGTGGGACGTCTGGATGTGTGTCTATGTCCTAGGACCTAACGTAGTGTGAATATCTGGTTTATACAGCCACATCCAGGTCGGAAACCAGCCTAGTTTTCTCTAGTCTGCTTTTCACGGGCTTTATTTGGGCGTCGAAGTATTGTTGAAGCTAATATTTTAGACACTATATTGGTCAAAATGATTCCTCTGTGATTGTCACAAGAGGACTTTTGTCCATTCTTACAGACTGGCACAATCAGTGACTGAGACCAGTCAGATGTGATTACGTCCAGTTCCCAGGGCCTGTTTCTCTTCCTTGCTTAAGATTACATATAGCTTTTTTAACTTCGTAGAGCTAGAGGACATACATCAACTTGGCATTCAGGTCGACTAGAGGATCGTGGGGGACCGAAATATGGCTGAAGGCCAGTTGAACTGATCCCTAAAGTATTCTGCTCATCGATCTAATCTCCTGGATTGAGCGTGAATAATATGTCGATCTTTTTCCGAGATAGTTTCGCTAACAGTTGAATTCCTAATATCGGAAAGTTTATATATATATATATATATATATATATATATATATATATATATATATATATAGTTTCACACGAAGATTTTAGGGTATCCGCTAGTGTACTACAAGAAGTACAGTCAGTCAGTCAGCTACAATGTCAGACCAGGCACATGTATGCATCGGTCCAAGTTGCCATACCTCATTAACACAACAAGATTAACACCGGATTCATAAAAGTAGTTAATTCAGGGGTGGTAATATATAAAAGAAAGATTGCAATAAGGATATAGTACAGGAAGAAAGAATTAGTTCGTAGAAAGAAAGATATGAAGCGATTTTAATCTCTTAGTTTAAGGGAAGACAGAGAGTGTATACACCGACGCCATTGTGATCGATCCTGAGCCATGTCACCAAGAGTCTCCAACCATTGGTTATGATAATCACGCGGACCCCAACCAAGTAGTTTGCATCTACCGACATGGCTCAGACTAGAAGTTAGTGACTTCAAGCACTGATGCCACGTTTTGGTTTGACCGCCTCTAACTTTCTTCCAACCATCTCCAACACCGGTTAGCATTGCACGTCGTGGTAATCGGAGTTCAGGCATACGTAACACGTGACCCAACCATCTCATTCGATGAAGATTCACAACCTCATCAACTGATTTACCATCATTCCCTAATAGTCTGCGTCTAACCGCACTATTACTTACTCGGTGATCTCAGCAGATACGAGCAATATCTCTGAGGCATCTGTGGTCAAATACTAGTAGCTTACGAGTATCTTATACTCTTAATGGCCAGGTTTCGCTACCGTAAATTAAAACAGAACGGACTGTCGTGTAGTATACTCGTCCCTCAATTGATAGACGGATATCTCGCCTTCACCATAGGTGACGTATGTTGGCAAAAGCCAAGCGAGCTTTTCGAATCCGTGCTGAGAGTTCGTCAGACACCAACCCATTAGGGCTGATCAGACTTCCGAAATAAGTGAAGTTGTCGACGCGTTCGACTACTTCACTCCCTATCCTTAGTTCAGGTGCTGACGCAGACCAGTCCTGAAGCAAAAACTTGCATTTAGAGGGGGAGAAGCGAATCTCAAACATTTTGGCATTGTTGCTTAGTGCTACCAAAAGACTGCATTTTATCAGCGTCTTCACCAAACAGGACAATGTCATCTGCGTATTCTAAGTCGATAAATACAAGGGTAACCAACAAGAATATAGTGACGAAAATGAAAGCAATCACGTTTGCTTTGTAGTGTCTTATTTTAGATTTTACATAAGCATCTTAACTTCAGTTAGATTTTCTTACAAAATAGCATTGAGAACCGAATCCCTATAATAGCTTGCTAATAATTATTATTGCGATTTAACTGGTTTCATGAAATGCAGATACAGTAAATCGTGAAGATGACTTAGGATTTAGTATAATGGATAAACTCACCTGCTTGTATTATATTTACTGTCGGCTTTTGCTGACAGTAAATGAGAGAAATTGATCTGAGGGAAATTAACATATTCTGCATCTTGACTGTGACAATTACGTCTAGGAAATGTACAAAACAAAGCATTTGCCAAAAGACTGGCTATCTGGAGTTGACTTAAAGTAAGTGCGCATTCTTTTCGGCATGATAGTAAAGGAATAGGCTAAAGTGAAAGAGTAGAAATGATAATCAAACGACGTTCAAATAAATAGTGACAACCACTGACAAAAAAATAAAAGTATGAGTCCATGTGCACCATTAGTTTAGAATTAGGGCTTTCCAACTCCCCTAGTTGTACGTGAACCCTGTTCAACGACGGACTTTCGTCCTTTCGGTTTTATAAACAACATCCTCGCCACGGGAAGACAGCGAGTGAGACTGCAGTGGCAGTGGCTGTATATGCGTGGCCGTGTGAGCATTTTAATAGATGGAGCTGACGCTCTTCACCCTAGGCCATACCAGGGCCTTTAGTTGATAAATAAATCACTCAGATGATTTCTTTGGAAAACCATTACGTGAGTCGTATCCACCATGCAAATTGGTGAATACATGCTTTTGCCATTAATAATATTTCGAGCGGCGCTTATGTCATGAAAGCTCCAGGTCGGTTTACACGACCACTGATCCATAATTTATCCGTTTGACCGAATGAAATAGTTACTTGAATAGAAATAACATACGACAGAGAAATGTTTCTATTGATTTAGTCGTACACCCTTGTGTAAATGTTATGTTTTAATTCTGTCCTCACCATTTATTGGGTTTGATTCCTTTAATTTTGAAGAAAGATTATCACTGTAGCAGTAAGTGAGGTGTTAGTGTACAGGTGTTTGAATAAATCTATGTTAAGTAAAACATTGCTGTTGATGATACCATATCAAGTTACCGACTCTGTTTTCATCTCGTATCTTTCACTTACAATTACTAATACTTATGAGATGGTGGAGAAGATTTGTAGCTCAGGTGGATGATTTCGGTGGAGTTTTGTTCTCTGAGCTCAGAGAACAAAACTCCACCGAAATACTAATACTTATCTTTTGTTCAATTTAATCAAATCATTTTATCTGACCTTGTGCAATAATACAGATTGTTTTACGATTACTAACACATAAGTTCTTTGCTGTTTAAATCGAGGGGACGATTTCACGATTATTGCTTTTATCTTTTGCATTATAATAATGTTATTTTTAATATCCATCTTTTTGACACTGCTTTTCAAGGATTTATATTCAAAATATTAATAACTTCACAAATGTTCAAATGTTTTAGGTTGATTTCGCCAACAGTTATCTCGGTGGTGGTGTTTTAAATAGTGGATGTGTACAAGAAGAAATTATGTTTGCTTTACGACCAGAATTGTTGGTCAGTTGCTTATTTGTCGAGCGTCTGGGGTTTGATGAGACACTTATTATTGAAGGTGCTGAACAGTATTCCGTAGGTTCTGGCTATGCTGATGATTTCTGTTGGGCTGGCGATTTTATTCATTCGGATAGTGGGATGAAACGGTAAGTTTCACATGCATTCATAATACTGATCAACCGGATGTGATACTTGGGAGTTATTAAGAATATAAGATATCCGTCGGATTATTTCCCGTCTTCATACACGGTTAGTAAATGGGTTATCATAAAAATGTTTGTTATTAGATCCCCAAAACTTATTTTAGTCTTTCAGTTTAAGAGTTTGACAACCAAACAATGTTAGCTTTTGCCTATACATTCGATCGTTAATTGAAAATGCAAGGTTTAAAAGATTAACTGTTATAATCACTAAACGTTCACTGACAAATAACTTCAGTATACGTGTCTTTAAAGAGAATATAAAAAGTACAGTGTCCTTGGTAAGATACAATTATTAACTTATAGTTAGATTTCCATAAGCTTCTGTAAATGACAAACATTTAGTTTACCCTGATCTCCATTGTCTGAGCATGTCTGAACCTTCTGAAATTCAGTTTGGGATGTTAGATTCTCTAGACGTTCGTTGACTTTATTAGTTAGTTACGATATTCATTTCTAGAACACCTTTGAATCGTTATCAGAATGGGGATTTGTGGAGATTGTAGTAGTTTCAATATTTGAATTCATGAGTTGATCTAAGCTAGACCACCATTGCATCATATTTATTTTGTTCCACATTTTCCAACTATTCAAGTTCACTTATTCTGGGTAAACACATTGGGTTCTATACGATTTGACCAATTAGTTAATGTCCTCACCTTGAATCTACTTGTGTTGTAACGCGAATTACTTACCATTTAGGTAAGTTGTACTTTCACTTAAAACCCTTCGGTTAGCCTAACGCGACATGCGTGATTATTCATTCCTTGGATATGATTAAGTTATCCAAAGATTAAAGTGCTTTCAGTACAGCTTAAAAGTTCTGAGTGATGGTGAGAAGTCCCATAATAGGATAAAGAAAGCTAATAGTCTTTTATTGGATATGTGGTTTTCACTGTTATTAGCACAATTTTCCAACATACTGACCTAGAATGTAGTTACATTTCTTTTCTATCTAGTTTATATTGTAGACGAAAGGCTGTAATTACAAGAGCGTACTTGCTCAGCTCAGTTCTTTTGAATAGTAGTTTACTCATCAATATTGCTTATTTATACTATGAATATAGTTCTTCTTGATTTGTACTAGCGATAAGTGGGGGAGATGGAATTATGCAGTAGTAGCAATGGATGCTACTAAATACAGTAATCCTGTGGAACAGTATAATGTCGAGGAAATGCTAAGAGAATTAAATAAGGTAATATTATGGTTTTATCACTTTATTTAAATTGTATTTGATTTTGTAATAATCTCGGTTGAAAAAACTTTTTTTTAGTTGTTATAACATTGCTTACCTAAAGAACGTAGCATGTTTGATTTTAGAGCAGTCTATTTACTGTTCTCCATAACTGGGTTTAATAATACACCATCACCTATCATCTGATAATAGGCTTGTATAGATTAGTATGGACTAACTGTTTGATTATTTGATGCATCATTGATGTACTGTTAACTTTTTGTGGTTTGAATAAAATTTTAATCCATATTTTAAAATAAACTGATGTAATTATTATTTATTTCACTTTTTTTTCGTTTGGTGAATTATCCAGCCTTTTGTTTCGTATAAAACATATTAGTCAGTTAACTGGAGGATGTCTGATTGTTTTCATGAAGTGAACTATCAGTTATTTTCATTGTGTGCTGCAAATTATTTGTTTTCGAACTGAATTTTGAAGACAGTATGTTGTTTTTTCCTTACGTCAATAACGAATTCTCACACCACTACTATGGTATATATATGATTGGCGGATGTAAATTTTTCTGTCCCTAACGCCTCAACCAGAACACAAGAAAGTCAACCGATGCACCTTGTATTGTTCCAGACTTAAAGACTCACATGCTTGTATACATCATTTACATGACCACAACTTACCATAAATGAGAAATCTCGGCCTGTACAAAACTGAGTCATTTGTAGTATAACTTAAATGCAGGCTTATAGTTCTAAAAATTTAACAATACCACAAACCACTTATTTAATGAAATATCAGTCAGTCAGTCAGCTACAATGTCAGACCAGGCACATATATGCATCGGTCCAAGTTGCCATACCTCATTAACACAACAAGATTAACACCGGATTCATAAAAGTAGTTAATTCAGGGGTGGTAATATATAAAAGAAAGATTGCAATAAGGATATAGTACAGGAAGAAAGAATTAGTTCGTAGAAAGAAAGATATGAAGCGATTTTAATCTCTTAGTTTAAGGGAAGACAGAGAGTGTATACACCGACGCCATTGTGGTCGATCCTGAGCCATGTCACCAAGAGTCTCCAACCATTGGTTATGATAATCACGCGGACCCCAACCAAGTAGTTTGCATCTACCGACATGGCTCAGACTAGAAGTTAGTGACTTCAAGCACTGATGCCACGTTTTGGTTTGACCGCCTCTAACTTTCTTCCAACCATCTCCAACACCGGTTAGCATTGCACGTCGTGGTAATCGGTGTTCAGGCATATGTACTGATTCACGGGAAAAGATTTGGCAAAGTTTTACTTTTTTCATTTATTCCTTAATATCTAGCACAATTTTTTTTCTTAGACAGTAGAAAACTTTATGTTGTTCTATTCCTTTGCATTGATTTCGTTATTTCATGTTTACAGGCATATTGTGGGTTTACCGACGAGTTATTTCCTGAAAGAAAACTACCTCCAGTTGTAGCTACTGGGAATTGGGGATGTGGTGCTTTTAGAGGTGATGTAGAACTGAAATGTACGTAACAGATTCTTTTAGACTTTCGGGTTGTTTTTCTGAAATTTTGTTGGTGTCATTTGTATCGAGTTTGCTTTAAACAACTGCGCAGTCCCTAAACCCTAATCGTTTCAATTAATGTATTTACCGTAGATTGCTAACCGCTTACCATGGAGCTATTTTTATTTAAGTTTTGGTAAAACGCACCTTATACTCAAAGATGTGAAAAACATTCTTTTATATATTATATGTGTTGAGCAATTTTTTTGGATTTTTGGTAAACTACTCTCCACCTTAAATTATTTTCTCCGTCGTGTGTTAAACGTTTCAGGTATACTTCAAATGATGGCATGCCTTCAAGCTAAAAAGTCACTGGCATATTTTACTTTTGGTGATAAAGGGTTTTGTGACAGAATCTATGCAATGTATACGTTGCTTTCTTCTGAAAAAGTAACTGTAGGTAAGGTGGAATTTTTTAAATGAACTATTCAATATATTCTCGTTAATGTAGAGAGTGATATCGAAGTAATTCTAATTGAATATCTTCGTGAAAATATATAATGAAGTAAAATCATTCAAATAACTCTTATTTATCCCCCAGTTTAGATTTTTTCTGACTGTCACTTCAAACAATCATGTAAATAAATAATAATTATTTTCATTATAATCCAAATAGTATTTCTTCATCGACTATTTCTTCAGACCAGGAACAATTCATCTTTATCCTTGTCCATTTTCAGGGACGGATAATTATTAAAGTTCCACAACATATACATATCCCTCAAATTTGCATCGATTACGTCAATCAAATAAGTATGTGGCTCACCAAAAGCTATCCTTTGTCATCATTCAACTTTAAGTCTGTCGCGAGGTCGATCTCTTTCGTAACGGCACTTGATTTGAAAAATGTAGACGAATATTTATTAAGATTTATATAGACAGAAATAAAGTTTCTTAAATTTTCTAACCTAAGTACTCTACGGTGTACAAACTAGGGTGCTTAAGTGTATTTTCTTTTTTAATTTAAACAAATCTCTTTATCTGATTGGGTAATCACTATCTAAATCTTAATATAAAGCTACAACTTTTGAACAGTTCTGTCGTCCATTTTTTAGTTGATTTTATACTAAGGTTGACCTTAATAAAGGTTTGAGACCTAACTATTTCAGAGATGCCTAGTGCCTCTATAGTGTCTTGCTTCTGGTGAAATTCAAAAACATTACGTTTTACTCTGGATTTCGTTCCATATTTTGCATATGAATCAGTTCATAATCAAAATCAAATTGAGTATATGAAAATACCATATCTTAATTTAGATTTTTAAGGAAAATATTGCGGATATCTATTGTAATGTTCACCATCACTACGGATTGATAGACTAGACTTTTATAAAATATAGTTGTTCTAATTATGTAGAGATATCTCATTAACGGATCATGTATTGTGCCTTGGATTTGGAGAATTTGTGCAAAACTCGAAAATCAGGTCCTATTTTAATTGGATCGCCCCCATATTATAGTAGCACTTTCAGACTGTTCTGTTTACAACTATTGTCTTAGTATAAAAGTACTTTTCCTGGTCAATATCCTCTTTTGTTATCAAAACTAATGGTTTATTAATTTCACGTTTTATAGGACGATTATGGCAAATACTAATTGAGCATGCTGGACATGACTTGATGAAAAACCAATCTGTATTTGATCTTATTTCTCAAACATTGAAGTAAACGTAAATCATTGATACATATGTAAAATACCACTAACTTTTATGTCAAACCTCTTTTTTATTTGCCTTTTCACGAACTTGGTAGCTACAATTTCACTACTTTCGCTTTGCAACTTGTACAAAACACAAGGAAAAAATAAATAAATCAACTCCAAAGTAATCGTTTTGCCTGTAATTAGAAACGTAATTCATTTTTATCCTAATGGTTAGTTTTCCAGGATTGGAATACAACCTTTATTGAGACAAAGTTCTGTTTCTGTTAACTAAATATTCAACGTTTAGATTTTCTTTGAAGTGTAATTGCCATTCCGTTAAATAGGATAGATTAATTGTATAATATCCATGTATAACCAGGAATATGAGTATTCAGTTTTCAATGTTCAAAATTAACATTTAATCCAATAATTCTGAAGCACTTGTTTCTTTCCGTTCAGCGTTAATGCGTAATAAGTGTAGTCGTCACTTGTACATGACTATTGATTACACTTCTAAAAAACGTAGGCCATAGATGATTGTACATCTGCGTCTTTTAGCAGCCTAAATGCTTCTGTTTGGTAACTTTTAATATGAGTTTTACGCGGTTACATCATGCAGTCATACAAGTTCGACCGCTTATTGAGAACGCGATATCGATACCAACAAGAACATGTTAACACAAAGGTACAGGTTAAGCATAGTTGTTCCCCAGTATGAATTAGTCTCTTATATCTAGTGTGACCGAATAGATCCATCTTCAAACCTTGAGGAATCACAGCTCACTTTAGTTGTACAAATCAATAATAGTAGATACTGCGTAGGTTACTTAAAAAAGACGAAAATGTATCATTACAAAACAAACTATGATTGCTTAAGTTAGTGTTGTAAGACTGTAAGGTAAAATTTATCTGCTTACTATTATTTCGGTGTGCCTAAATAAATATGGAAGATGACAGTACAAAAAATAGGCTTTAAATTAACTTTGGGATCCCATGATTAGTACTAAATTGTTGTTTAAGAGATCCTAATCATTTCATTATACTAAGCATTCTTAATAATTCTGTTAATGAAGCTTAATCATCTACACCATTAGCATTAGCGTAGTCATTAGAGCAATTAGTATCCAATATAATGGATTGCACGTCTTATCCTCGGTCGGTTCATATTGCGGTGTGCTACTGATGTTGACAGATAAGTAGTACGTATCACCAACCGAAAGTGAAATGCCTGGAGGCAGAAGGTTAAGAAGATCATAGAAAAGAGGACGAGAACAAAGAATGATAGGTGTGGAAACGAAAGGACAATGAAGTCTGAGACGATTGACTGATATTTGCAAAAGGAGCAGTCAATTTTGAGACGATTGATTGAGAGTTTACAAATTAAGCATTTACTGTATGGTTCTCAGATTTCACTAAGATGTTCTGTAATTTTGTGTTTCAAATACATTCGATTTTCCCGACTTGTGTTCTCGTTCACTTCAATATTATTGACCCTAACAAAAGTAATGTGGCTTACACCTGCGTACAGAAAGTTGTACGTGCTGGATGGATGACCGTAATGGATGCTTTGCTTTCCCCTTGATTTACCAAAATATAGAAAGACAACAAGGCTCAACATTTTTATTATTTTATTCTTGAACTGCGATACGTAGATATGTGCTTAATTGGGACTTGATTAATTCTAGACATACTTGTAATTTTAACGAATTTGTCACCAGATTTCACATGGTAGTCTGTTGGTTCTAGTTTTGTTAATTTACTCCGTCCAGTATTACCGTTAACACCAGTGTTGGAATCACTGAGACGAGTGGGCTTCACTTTTCGGTCAGTATTTGTATTTGTTCTAATTGTGTGTGATTGATGTTCTGTGCTTTGTATACTATCTCGACCGGAATTTTTTAGTTTATCAATATTTTCTAATTTATTTGACCAGTAATTGTTGTTATCATGGAATTTTTGTGAAATCTAAATAAAATGTTAATGAAATAGAAGGAATTATTTGTAGGGATAAGCAATCATAGTGTTTACTGAATAAATTAGAAAGTGAATGTTAAGGCCTTATTTAATTAATGCAATGAAGTATAGAGGTTCATAATCTAGGCTTAAAACAAAACGATTATGTTATGCATTCCGGATGAGAATATTATTGAACTAACCAAAACAAATATGTGAAAGTCCGACCTAGCTATTTATGGTTAGAATTATGCTTTAACTAACTAAATATGAAAAGATAGATTATTCAATACGCGAGGAACCTCGCAAAGTTTATGTTAAAAACGGTATTCAACTGCCCAAGTCCACTTCATAAACTTTGTGATATGCTTAATTGTGCTGCGTACTTCGCTAATGACGTGTAGTGGTTCTGTTGGGATGATTTTATCGATATAACTAAAAGTGATACCTTTATAGTCAACAAAATAAGCAACACCAAAATTTAATTTTGATCTAGTATCCGAAAAAGTGTTTGAGAGTGAGGTAACAGCTTTTTATGACAATGAAGACATAATGATATGATTGCGAAACGGAATAACTAATGCTAAAACTATATAAAATTTGCAGTGGAATAATTAAAGAATAGTTTAATACACTTATGGTTTTATCGATTATTGATGGCCACAAGTTGATTTCATTTTAAAAAAATCAGTACATCACTACGAATTTACATTTCCCATGAAACTGTCAGAGATATATCTGTTTCATATTTTATTATCCGGTGTTAAATTTTTCAACGCACATCAAGTCAGTACCCACACTCTATGGATACCATCTGGAAAAATACTTTATTTGCCGTGTTGGTTGAAGCAAATTCAGGAAGGAAATATAAATGACTGGCTGGAAGGGAATAGACAACTGAAAGAGAGAAGTTTGCCTAATACTATAACAGTATGGTTCAACAGAGGAGGAGAGGTAATTCATGTTGGTGAAGTTTTAACTATCTACTTGCCCTTAACTGGAGTCAGCGAAGTACCTGTGGTACAGAATGCTCTCAAGAATGAAGGTATACCAGGTGTAGAAATGAATTTGGAACCAAAATACAGTGAAACACTTGCGGGAATCAAACAACTTCTATTCATTCATGAAATGGAAATTGTCACGTGTGCAGCTGTTAGATCGACACCAATAATTGGTGTTGAAAACAAATGGGCTTTCTTTCAACGTGATAGTACAATTGTTAAGCAAGCACAATTTGCTTTCCACGTTTACACTCCACCAATCATAGTATGGAGTTATGCACTTGAAGCACTTTCCAAAGATCTAGTAACAGAGAAAAACCTTACACAAACATTGACTAATATAAAACACTGGTGTAAATCAAAAGTAAATATAGCTGAATATAAGTTAAGTCCTTGTCAGGATATAGTAGTACAAGTGATGCCACTGACTTCACTCAAGAAACCAACAGATTCTTTGCCAGTTGAATTACCGAAAAGTAAATTCACAGAAATATCAATACTTATTGAACTATCACATGAACCGATCTTCTTCTTCTTAAGTCCTGCAGGAAGTCTTTTTAACTATATTCATGCTACTCTAAAAGCGGAAATGGACGAACTCATTAAAAGATCAGTAATAAAGGACAGTTTATTTACACGCGAAATTGCTACTCGCATACGAGTAGTCTGTCCACCAGGTAGTCAGACGTATCAGCCACCACCTTTGTTCAAGTCAATCACTCCTAGTGAGTATGATGAATCATTATTCAAAAACTCATCAGCATATCCACTAACAAAATGGTCACTCGTATGCCATCCATGTCCTCCAGGTCATGCTCCTCAAACTCCATATGCATTTAATGGTTGTCACTTGTGTCCTAAGGGTTACTACTCAGGTGAAACAAATTACCCGTCAAGTGGAGGATGCCTGCAATGTCCCATTGGCTTTACTACGGATAACATAGGCGCAAAGTCTGTCAGAGAATGTCATGTAGATGGAGGAGCTATATCTCGTCTGATAATTGGAATCTTCATCAATTTATGGAAAGAGTTTGAGCAATTTTTAATTGATAATTCGAGAAAAGAGTTTACTACTAGAGCGGGAGAACAAATCCAGGAAAATTACTGGGTTTTGAAGAAAAAAATTGGTTTGTCTGTATGGATCTTTCTGAGTTTATATATCTTGACAGCTTTATGGTTGTCATCAATAGCTGTCTATCGGATGCATCTTTACATCAAGCTACGCAGAATGTATCAAGCGCAGCTTAGATTACTTTTAAAATCAGCTTTAGTGGGACAAATAAATGTTGTTCTTCGAACTAAACAACAAATAAGAACCAGTAATAATGTCACTTGATAAGGAATACAACCAGTGAAGCAATCATTACGACGATGCAAAATTAATGCTTCATGTTGTACATTTATAAAGAAAATATAATATTTCAAAGCAAATTTCATTTTATTGAAGAAAAGATCGTGAGAGTCAATTTAACCGAAAATCACAAGTCATGTATGATATGCTATTTTGTATTAAGTGACCAAATCACTCGTAAACCAATTTTAGTCAGATAAATTGTCATGAACGTCATTTTTCTGATAATTTAAATGAATCGTGAAAGTTCGAAATATACAAAGGGTAAGTAATTACTGGAGGGACAGGGAACTAAAGTTACAACTGGATCTTCATAATCATTTATCTTTTCAGAGTAGTTGTTAGCTGAAAACTATCGGAACTGCTCTTTAAATATGGGGGGGGGAATATGTATAATTTAAGAATTATCCAGGGCTAAATGATTTACAAAGTATAAATGTACTATTTGTCCTTTGTTCTTAAGTTTAGGTCAAAAATTAGTTTTCAAAATAGAAGTTAGATCCACATTAATTGGATTAAATTGCATAATATATAACAGTTGTCCATACCAATCCCGCTATTTCCCTTTCTATTCTTTTAATGTTTTTTGGGTGTGCCGCATCAATTAATCGTGACCCATTATTCTGTATTGTAACATCAATAATATTCATTGAGTTCTGTGGGCTATGGCTGATTTTTTAATAAAATCTCAATGAACATTGGCGTTGATGTTTCTGATACT